ATAATAGCATTTGCAAGGAAATGGATGGCATTAGAGTGGATTATGGTAAGTGAAGTTAGCCAATCCCTATAAAACAAATGCCGAATGCTTCTCTGATATAAGGGAGTGACTCAAATTGGGTTAGGGAGGAAAAGCATGATAAGAAGATTACCACTAAATAGGGAAGAGAGGTGGGAGGGAAAAAAAGGGAGAAGGGGATTTGCACGGAAGATGGAAGGAGACCCTCATCATTAAATACGTGTATGATGTTGTGAGGAGAAAAAAAAAGTGTGTCACATTAGATTGGGTAGAGAGAAGTGATGCGAGGGGAGGGGAGGGGAGGGGAAGGGGAGGGGGCTTAGGAAAGGCAGCAGAATAAAATAGACATTATTATGGTTGTATGTATATAGGTGACTGTATGATCAATGTGATTCTGCAACCTGTACAATCAGAAAAATGAGAAATTATACCCCATTTGATTCAAAATGTATGAATTGTCAAGATCATTGCACTGTCATGTGTAGCTAATAAAGAAAAAAAGACACAAAAGAATAAAAAAAAAAGAAAAGAAAATACTTCCTTGATCCATTTATATCTGCACTAACATACAGATATTTTCTATTGAATAATGACTTTGCTTCCCTGGTTCCCATCTTCAAAGAGAAGATCTAATGTTGATACTAGTACTTAAGCTCTTCATTACTTTTCTTTTTCAGAAGCAAAAGTAGAAATAACAAAGGATAGTGTGGTTAATAAGTAAGTAACCAAAACTTTTAACTAAGGACAAATCTCTTCTGACTAAAGAACATTATATAATCTTTCCTGTTGCTCTACTTCAATTGATAAAAATAAGCTAGTCAGATACTTGTTTTCAGGCCCTAAGCACACAATGTTTTTTGTTAAATATTTTTAAAATTGTCAATAGACCTTTATTTTATCCATTAATTTATTTATATGTGGTACTGAGAATTGAACCCAGTGTCTCACACCTGCTAGCCAAGCACTCTTCCACTGAGCCACAACCCCAACCCCACACAATGGCTTTTTTGAGTTATCAATGTCAACAAAAGAGCGTAAGCTGCTTGGGAAGAAACCAAGTCTCTGGCCTCCAGAAGGAGCTGGCATATGGGAGGTCACACAGGGCTTCTGGCTTCAGTCAGTGATTCTCAAAGATTCCCAGGTGCTAGATTCCCAAAGCTAGAATGACATAGCTCCCGATTAAAGGAGAATCTTCTAGCAGGGGTGTCTGAGCAGGATCTTTCCTGAGACACAGGCCATTACAAAACAACATGCTCAAATGTTGCAGAATGAGAAATTAGACAAAGGAAAAAATGAAAGCTCAAGTTTTGTTAAATCCAGAGGATAGTCCTATAAATCTTTTTTTTAAAATACTTTTTAGATGTTAATGAACCTTTATTTTATTCATTTATTTATATGTGGAGCTGAGAGAATCAAACCCAGTGCCTCACACATGCTAGGCAAGTACTCTACCACTGAGCCACAACCCCAGCCAGTCCAATGAATCTTAGAGCAATTCTCTTCCTTTTTGAGGAGAGGGTCTTTGTGTCTAAAGTTCTTGCACACCCAGTTGCTGCCAAAAAAATAAAAATATTTCAAATTCTCAAATATTCACAGTGACATCTGAGTTCAGACACTGTACAGGCTTGTCAGTAAATGTAATAATATTTACTTACATAAGTTTTTTTGCTAGACAAATTTAGTAATCAGTTTCAGAAAATGTGCTTAAGCCAAACAAACAACAGAGAGAGAAAAACAAACATTCCCCACTTTTAAGTATTATTAATCAAAGTAAATATAGTCCTATCTTATCATCATGTTTTCTATGAGGAAACTTCATTTCTTTTTTTAGATTTGGAGAATTGCTTTTCCTGATAGAACCCCCAGAACTGAGAACCCTGAACTGCAAACTTGTCCTTTGCCCTAGTTGTTTACCAGCCTTATCAGGGGACACATGGGTTGGCATGTGATTCTAAGACACAAAACCCCAAAGATATAATTAGATGTTTTCCCCAGAAATATCACCCAATGCCATGGAAGTTTGTTTGATATTGTTCAAATCATACTTGGAAGTAAATTGTCCCACAATTTTTTTGCTATTTGACAATTTTCTTTTAGAAAGAAAACAAATTTCCTTTAGAAAAACATGACTTGGCATTGAAAAAAAGTACCTATTTTTGATAAACTAATGGTAATATATTCCTAATTTCACAAGTTCTAATGGTGTCATTCTCCAATAAACACATTTTTCTGTATCAATAGCATACTTCTTAATGAGCATCACATCATAAATAAAATGATGAAAATAATCTTATTCCTTTGAATTAAAATACAGATGGTAAGTGGTAGCAAGGTATATCAAACTCAATCAAGTTTCTTACATTACTGCATTGCTTAATGCATCTAGTTCACTTCTGAATCAAGGGGACAAAAAGACAAAGGAAGGAAACCATAAATGTGTTTGCTATGCAGCAGATAAACATCCTTCAGCCCCGCCAAAGTAATATTATGAGAGTACTCTTGAATTTATACTGAACCCCAGTGCTGCCCGTTTTTGATAAAGTCAAAAACTGATCAGATTTGCAGAAAACAAAACAAACACAAAAACAAAACAAAAACTTCTACTGCCACCTGCTGGTGTTTTCTAGTCAATGATAATCAAAGGTGTTAGAATGACAAACTTGAGTTAAGCATTATCTTTTGATTTTTAAAACAAGTATAATCTTTGAATTATTACCTACTCTTCTCCAGGTATAGATGAACATACAATACATATAGTTAATAATGTATATAATATTCTATATAATTCTAGAAGTGTAGAGCCAGACCTAAGCATATTTTTCTGCCTGTTTCATGGACAGACTGTACCACATTATTCTAAAAGGAAGACAAGGATGACCACATTTCCATTCTTTCCTTTCTCACAAAACCCATTCTGCTCATTCCTAGGTCAGCAATAAATATTTGAAGCCAAATGATCTTGGCAGACCTGTCCACAGAGTATAGGTGCAACTCTGACATTTGAAGTCAGCTTCATAAGATTTTTACCAAGAACCACAGACCAAGTTTGTATTTTTGAATACTTCTCTACAGTAAATTTAAACTCTAAGGATATTGACATAACTCTGATGGAGGGTCCCAAATGAGAGTTCTAAGGCTGAAACTATACATCCCTGTTGGAAAGATACTATAACTGGAGTTGTGAACAACTTTAACATTAGAAAGAGTGGAGCCTATGTTCCTGCAATCAACTTCATTTCTTATTTTGGAGGGTCTAAGATTTTTTTTTAAAAGCTTTAGATAAAAATATTTTAAGGGAGATAATTATTCTTTTTAACTTTGAGGGTAATTTTAAAAATCAGAGGAGATAAGTAAAGCATGCTAAGAAAACAATACTTTCTATCAATCACATATCAATATTTCCCAGAAACAAAATAGGAAAATTATTTTTTAATTATTTCATAACACTAGTCATACATTATATGATTTTTTTCATGTCACATTGCTTTGTCTATTCTAAAAATATGCTCAAAATCTGCATTCAACTAATTATTTTCTCTAAAATCAGTTCTAAGTACAATGTGAATCGGAAGGCAATGCCTCAATACATAAACTCTGGTCTTTCACATCCCTAGACATGAGCAAATTTGTCTGCTAGAACACTGAAGAATTTTCTATAATACTGCAGTGCTATAATTAAGTCTTGTACAAATTCTGCTGCCAAAACATCACCAAAATGGGTGGTGAATACAGGCCAAGTAAACTCTAATTATGGAAGGCGGGTTTTCTAAGATCCTACATCCAAGAAGGCAGGCAAGATCAGACAGCTAAGACAGGCTACTGAGGTAATATAAATAGCCTTGTCAAATTCAATGCAAGCCCCCTAGCTGCTATCTTCTGTAGTTCACAGGTATGTTAAAAAACACAATCTGGGACCCTCTACTTGGAATCTAGCACTTGATTGTTCTCTGAAATATGAAGTTATGAAATTAATAGGTCATTGGATCCAAAAAGGCAACAGAATGCCAACGTACCAGATAACTTTCCATTTCAAATTTCAGGCTCTGTTCAGAGTTCAGTAAAGTACACTTTAGCATTCTAAAAACCAGTAAGCAAATTGTCAGTAAATAGTACAACACATTTCCCCAAACTGGATGCCTTGTGTATAACCAGCACCCAGTCAAAAAGCAGAGCCTTGTCTGTCTTCTAGAAGTGTCCTCCATTCAGACAAGGAGAGTTCCTAATTTTATAAAATAGTATTGATATATAAACAAATATACTATTGAATAGTTCTCTCAGTAGGAGGGTTACATAGTATATTCTTACCTGCTAGATTCATACAAATGATTATGTTTATTTCCCTTTGTCTTTATAAATGTCTATGCCTTTCTTTCCCCTTATCAGTAAACTGTGTGAATGAGTTGGTTACTCATTTGAGTCTAATTCAAATATCATCTCCTGTGTGGATGTCTTGACCTTCAAACTGTATTCTCTTAGGTCAAATGAAACAATATTTATTTATGCAGATGTTTTAAATTGTATATCATCTTGTTTATTCTTTTATGGTACTCGGGATTAAAGCTAGAACCATGTACATGGCAAGCGTGGTCTACTGCTGAATTATACCCCTAGTCCCAGTACATATCATCTTAACACCCTCTAGGTGAAGAATTTATAACAGAGTTATGTTTTATTCCACCAGATTAAACAACATATGTTCACATTAACATATATAAGTTATCAATGTATTGGTTGACAATAAGATGTTTGTCATTTTCTTGTAGGTGACATCAAGATACTTCTCCTTGAGGGAAGTTCACAAAATATACATTCTAGGCCTTAATTTCTCATTTCCTTATATTGCTCTCCTTCTTCATCCTCTTCTACTGCAAAACTAAACGAGCTTATTTCAATTCAGTTGAGATTCACTGTATTTAGTCACTCCAAGGATTACAGAAGAAACATTCACCTCATATAAATTAGACATGCCAGAGCTCTCCTACCTGTGTACCTAAGCTGGCTGCCATCATGTGAGTCAGAAGTTTAGCTGCAAACATGGAGTACCTGGCACAGAAGATGTGGGAAAGAACCGCCAAGCAAAGACCTGAGGAAACAAAAGAGGCCATGTGTGGTTTTGTAATCCATGAAGAGGCAAACAGTATCACAGTGGAAATCTTTGGGACAGTTAAGCACATAGGCCTATCATCTGTTACTATGGCTCATAGCAAAACACATCACCCCTGGGAAAAAGTACATTTTACCTGATGTATAAAATCTTTGTGTATATCAATTAAGCCCAAAGAATGACTTTAATTTTCAAATATCTACATGTTTGCATCCCTGATGAAATAATGAATTAAGCATATTAATTTTAATAAGGATTTAGTTTTCTATGTTTAAATTCATCAAGTTTTACTGTTTAAGAAAAAGTAATCAAATTCTAATCTTTTTTCTAAGAATGGGTGGCTTGGCTAAATAGAGATGTTTAGAGAGGTGATTTTCAGGCATAAAATTGTGAAGGATACTACCAAACCTCAGGTTTGGCAATTACCCTCCACCTTTTTTTTTTTTTTATCTACTAGAAACAGTTATATAATTGCATCAGAGGTAATTATGAACTTTAAAGTCAACTTTACACTATTGCATGCCAAAACCAGGGGGAAAAATGTGTTCTATCCCCAGGATGAATTTTAACTTAAAGATTTAAATTTCTAAGTGGTATGAAGAAAATTATTCTTATTATCTCTAAGTCTACTTGAATTCACCTATTTACACTATTTCAAGAGGATGATTAGAACTTCAGCACTAATCCACAATCTTTGCAATTCTCATATTTTTTTTCCCTTTTTCATTGGGGTCGCTGTAATGGCTCATCTGACCTTAAGGGTCCACAGGAAGAGAGAGAGAGAGAGAGAGAGAGAGAGAGAGAGAGAGAGAGAGAGAGAGCATGCGCTGACCCCTTTTATTGAGGAGAAGCTATTCAAATGAGGCAAGGGGTCAGGTTTTAGGGGGCTGAGTCTATCTTCATGATGTCCACTGTCAGCAGGTTGACACATATTTTTCTTTTAATGCTAGATTTTAAAAGCAGAATACATACATATTTTAAGAATATTTTCTGCCTTTTAAAATTTAAATGTGCTGCCTATAGCAACCATGTGCTTTTCACTTAAATCCTTTACCCCAGCCTTGTCCTCAAAAGGATTATTTTGTCTAAGAATTACTGAAGCATTGCAACAATTGGCATTCCCATGGTGTTTTGCAACATACTTTGCATGCAGCACTTCACTTAATTATGTCAATGCTTCCTTGGCAAACAGATCTCTGATTTAACATTTTGTTTTCTTCCATTATCTTCTCTGAAGCTATATGAGCAAGCTTTTAGAGTATATCACATGTTAGTACAAATGGACTGGGCATCTGCAAAATGCCCACATAGGGTCTTGTGATACATTTTATGTTCAAAAACGCCTCTCAGATCTCCTTTTGGGGAAATATTCCCAACTACTTTTATATTTCAATAAGGTAAAAATATTTCAGTAAGGTAGACAAAGAGCCCCACAAGAAGGAAGTTTCTGTATTAGTCAAGACTTTTTATCTAAAAATTTGGTTCCTCATCATATTCCCTTTTCATGATACAAATTTAGTGGATTAAATAGGACAAGCTCAGTAATGTTTAACCAAGTATCCTGAGCTTCAATTAAAATGCTAACATGACACCTGGTGGTAGACCAAGCTCCAAAGTCAGGGGCAGGGAATCAGGCTAGATTCTATTAGCCTTAACTGTAATATGTCATGATTATTTGCTACATTATTTATTTAGGAGAGAAGAATATTGTTACAAACCTTAAGCAGCCTGTGTCCTAGACTAAGGAAACTTAGCTGTCGTTGGGCAGGATATTAACTACATAAGGTTTTAAAAAAATAAATACTTTAGATACCAGGTTTCTAAAAACCATATAGTAATTTAAGCTTCTAAAACACTATATACTAGCATACTAATTTAAGCAATAACATATTTACTTTCTTACCTGAAGTTGAATAACTACATTTAGCATATAAACTTTAAACTTATAAGTTAATTTTTTAAACATAGATTTTTTTCTGTTAAAATTCCTTAATATAATTAGGCAAATCACAATGTATAAAATGTTATAAACATAGATAAAACTTTTTAGACAAAATAAAGTATAACAACTCCAGGTACTTCTAAAGGTTTACTCTTTATAGGTTTTAAAAATTGATCTCTTCACAATTATATAGAAAAACAAGCAACTCACTAATTTTCCTTTATTTTTTTTCCTGGCAGTATATCCCGATTCATTTGGAAAAGAACATTTAATTAGTTCTTTGACACAAATGACTTTGCTGCATGATTCAAAATTGAGAAGGAAGATAAATTAACCTTAATAAGGGTAAATTATAAATTACCCTTAATGATAAAGATAATGTTTGATTTAGGTAAGAAAAGCTCAAGAGACTACCTTTAGTCTTTTCCTATTATCACACCTGACTTAATATTTTATTTATCTATATAATATTTGAATGTTTTCATGTATATAAATACATTAATATTTGCATATAAACTGGCATATCCAGAAAACATCTCTGTTCTTGAGCATCATTTACAAAAGGGGTACACTTTTCATTTAACAGAAGTTTATTCCATCACATGATAAATATTAGTATATTTTGCCACAGATTTTTAGTTAAAATATTTATCATCTACTAATCTATCAATTTATGAATTTTGACATTCTCTACAAATAATCCAAACACAGCCCAATTCTAATTATTTTATTATTAAATAAGTTATCAGCTTTTTAGGTTAGTTGTTCTTTCCCCCACTTAATGCTGGCAGTACCTGTCATGCTTTCTACTTTTTGTTACTCATATCTACTGATTCCCATATTTCTGCAATTCTTCCATGAGTACAATGTCTTTTGTTACTGCTACCAATAAGCTAAGGTCTGGAAAAGGAAATAGTCAACCCTGAAAAGATTTCTAATAGGGACATTGTATGAAGCACCATGGAATACATACATCTGTGTATTAGGGAAAGGATTTATTCCAGAGGGATGAGGTTGTCAAGGAGACCCACCTCCAGATCATCAGGGTGTTAAACCTGTGCTGTTCAACACAATAGCCACTAGTCACAAATGACTATTTAAATTTAAATTTTCATGAAAAATTTTAAATCTCAGCTTCTCGGTTGTGTTAGACATATTTCAAGGGCTCATCAACAACCCGTAGCTAGGAGCTACCGTATTGGACAGTATAAAACATTTTCACCCATCACAGAAAGCTCTAAGGGAGAGTACTGTGTTAAACTATTTTGAATATGAATATGTACTATTTCAGAAAAAAAGTATTAAAAATTATAATATTAAATTTAAAAGGAATATTTATTTATTAATTTAACAAATATCTATGAAAACTAGTGTATGTCAGTGATTGGGTTGGGTGATGTTCAAAAAGATACTCACTGCTCTCTGAGAGCTTGTTTCACTACAAATCTATCTGTATTTTCCTCCATAAAAAGACTGGCTTATGAAGTTGACACAACACAATTCCAGTCAAAGAGATGCAGAGGAAAACATTGTGGGTGGCTTTCAGGGAAGATCTCACTGCTTTTAAAACAGTGTTCTCCGTTGGTACATCTGGACATTGTTAGTGTGATGCTTACACTACTGCAACCAACTCAAGACCATGTAGGGACAAGGCTCAGGGGAAAAAAACATTTTTGGGGAAAGCAAAACAGAAAGATGAGAAGAGGCTGGGCTCCTAATGACACCATCAAGGTATTAAACCAGGAACCTTAAATCTGTTTTAACCTTTTAGTTGTTTTCTATTATTTGCAGCCAAAGTCATGCTAAACAATATCCTACACAAATGTAACAACCAAACATCTGTATGCCATGTCAGAATTAAAACTATGTTTTCTGACTTCTTCAACTGTAGTCTTTTTAAGCTCTAAGCATATTTTTTTTTCTATTTAAGGATATTATTTTTCTATTCTTAGCATATTTTTTATCCATTTAATAGAATAAAGATGTTTTGATATATTACTCATCACATTTATAGTATCTACTTTAGTTTCTGTAAGAACTTAATAGAAAATTTTAGAAAATTTTATCTTATTTTTAAAAACAATTTTGAAGTAAATATGTGACATTTGGCAATGTTATTTTTTTCTTTTGGAAAAACTTTTAGAATCTTAGTTTGTAAAACAAAAAGTGCAATCTGAATATTCTTGCAGTTTTTATAAGCATTGAACAAAAAATTATGTTGCTTCAAAGGACTTTGGGTTGTATTAATTTACTTAACCTATAAGCCTTATATTTAGCATTTTATAAACAGTTATTTGCAGTGAACTTGAAACTGTGTTGGCATTTATATATAGCATAATATATTTAGTAGCCTATAAAAAATTAAGTAAAAGTTAAGTCAATTAAAAAGGAAAGCTTTAATTTGCATTAAAGGATTTCTCTACCTTAAGAGAACAAAATAAAAGTTAAATACATATGAGGCCTGGCCAGCTCTGCCTCTGCTTAAAACCACTGTAAACATGGGAGACTTACTGCAAGCACATCAAAATCACCTCACATATTCACTGATGTTAAAACATGGAATATGGAATACTGTAGGTTCTCTTTGAGAATATAAGACTATGGATGGGGCTTATGTTAAAATCAGGACACACACAATCCAAAGTCTGTCTTTGATAGTATACTATCAAAGCAGGGCACAATGAAGGAGGTTTTTTGACATTATCATCCAAATAGTAATGTGTGCCCAAACCATGCTGAAGTTCCTGAATAATTACATGAAAACATATTGCATAATCATAGGAAGCTGGCTTTAAGTTATATTTCTTCCATGTTGTTTTGTGGCTAAGTTCCATAAAGCTATATTTCAAGGCACACAGCACTCATTTTCTCATTCTCTCTTCCTATCCATCTCACCTCAAGGAATGACCCTCCTTTAAATTTCTGGCATTGTGTAAATGGTTAAGTCTTGGTATATGCCTCTTTCATCTTTCTAAACTGAGGATTGCTAAGCATTTTGGCCTCTGTGCCTACTTTACACATTGATTGTTTTGGTTGTTCTGCTTTCGCATAGAGCTACAAAATAGATTAACTTTGATCTACTGTGATTAAAACAAGGAAAGGTTAAATTCCTTTTTAACTATATATTACTATATTTCATAAAAAGAATTAGTTAATTACTATCAAATTTAGAGGGATATTCAATAGGACCTGACCCAAATTATAGCATAGATAAGACATAACATTCTCTTTTCTGGTTCCTGGGGCCCAACAGAGGATAGGCTTTCTCCTCCCACAAACCCCTTTGCGAAGCTAAAATTAAAGCACAAAGACAGGACTTTAACTGTCATTATTGACAGATCATGCAAATTACAGAACAATGTGTCATGGACAAGGGGGAAAAACCAAGAATTTCAAATTACTGAAATTAATTCCAACTTGAAAGTAATAAAGGCAGATAGTGATGCTTTGGTGTATGTTGATTGTCAAATACATCAGCAAATCTATATTGCCTTTTCTAGACTAAGCTACAGAAAAGAAATATTTATTAACAATTCTCCCAGGAAAAATGTTATAGTCCTGCTAGTTTCCATAAAATCAGGATGACTTTCTCTGTTTAATTTTAAAAACTCTTTGCTTTGATGATCAATATTTGAAACAAAACAAGAAAATTTTGTGGGTCATAAAAACACTTGAATTTTATATCTATGGAGAAATGTAAAATGACAGGATTTTTATTCCAATATTGTACCTTTCAATTTCATTTCATCAGCCTATGAAATTTCTTTGCTTTATAAATTCATTGGCATTAAAGTAAAATGGAATTTCTTACCTATTTTGGAACTATAATGGACAAAGAAGAATATATTAAGTAAGAAATTATAAAATTTATGAAAGACATTACTAAGAATAAGAAATTACTAGCTGAGTGTGGGCATGCCTATAATCCCAGTGGCTCAGGAGGCTGAGGCAGGAAGATCATGAGTTCAAAGTCAGCCTCAGCAACAGCAAGGTGCAAAGCAACTCAGTGAGACCTTATCTTCTCTAAATAAAACACAAAATAGGACTGGGGTAACCTCCTAAAAAAGAATAAGAAATTATTAACTTTTGCTATTGAATCTAAATTAGGTTCATAATTAAGATACATTAAGGAAAATTTGTAGCTATATAAAATCAAATTATATTGGAAATATTTTAGCAACTGAACTAAGAACAGTAATTAATTGCTTGACTCTGTCTCCAGAAAAACTCAATGACAATTACATTTACAGATAAAACATCATCAAAGCAGAATATCAGAAATGTCTGATTCAATATATTTCCCACCTTATTAAGTAGAAATCATTTATAATCATACATCATTAGGGGGATATTGAGGTATGCGGAAACTATGTAATTTACTCAACGTTTCACACTCACTAATGGCAGATCAAGTATTTGAAACCAGACATTCTGGCTTCAGGTTTTGTATTTTAAACCATTACCCTATACCTAGTTCTCTGTAGAATAAACATATTGTTCACAGAAAGAGTTGTGGASCTTTTAAAAAGTGAATTAAGGCACAGAAGTGCTGAAGATGGGGGACAGAAATATACAGTAAGGAATTCTCAGACTTCCACCCATATACTTAATATAGTACATGGGAATAATTCTATTGATTAGTTTGACAAGTACTAATACAATTTAAGTTCCTATTAATGCCCAAAATGGGGCTTGGATATGGAAAATGATAGATGACTTTTAAAATAATTTCTATTTGTTTTAATTAGTTATATATGACAGTATGTCCTTTGACACATCATGCATAATGAAACATAATTTCACATTCTTCTGGTTATACATGATGTAGAATCCCACCAATTATGTAATTTTATATGTACATAGGGTAATAATGATAGATGATTTTTTAATACAGTGTTTGCCATATTTAAAATGGTTAAGCTGTAGAATACAAATCAACCAAAGGGTAGGGTTGGTTTTTTTTTTTAACTATTGCAAATACAAAATTCTTTGACTGTATTATCTCAAATAATCCTGAAATTCTATCTCACAGAACCTGCCCTCTAAACCAACAAATTATAACCTTTCTTACTATCTAGCTTCTTAAACTGTGTTATATATATTCCTTAGGAGTTGGGACTAAGTCCTATACTTTTTACTCTGTCTGTAGTATAAGTGGCCCTCCATAAATATCTATTGTATGAATTAATGAATAAAACAAATAGAAAAACAACAGGAAACGATTAATGATATTCATATCTTGCATATACAAAGAACCATAGAGTGGCAGAGAGGGAGGGAAGGAGGAGAAAAGTGCTGGGGAGTGATATTGGTCAAGTTATATTGTTTAATTGTGTGCACATACAAATATGTAAYAACAAATATCTCCATCAATATGTACTACTATGATACACCAATAAAAAATGTGGAAAATATTTTTTAAATGGCCAACCCACGTATGTAAAGCATGAATGTTTTTCACAGATAAAATATTGAATGGGAAAAGTCAAAGCCAAAATGAACTATACGATTTCATTTGTATAAAGTACAAAGACAAGTAAACCAAAAATATACTATTTGAACTCAGAAATAAGTGTAGTAAATATTTTTTCTAAATATCAATTGACATTGTTTTTTTGGGGAAAAAAACTATGGACAAACAGACCTTCATTCTCACAATTATTTAAAATTATTGACTTGAAAACACTATCACTGACCTGATATACATATAAATCCGGAAGAGAAAAAGGCTTCGTTGTATGAAGACAAGTTGTCATTCTGGGTGTAGGCAGCATACAGAGACATGTGTGAACAGGCACATTCCACATAATCTGCAGTGTCCTCAACCACTTTGCAAAACTGACTGTCAGACAACCAGCTGGAACAAAACATAATAGTCACTATTCCCCTTTCGTCAGTGCTTAAGATGTTGAAATGTCTTTTGAAGAAAAAATTACTTGCTGAACTTAAGTTTTCTTTACTCAAGACCTAAGCAGACCACGTTTTGAAGAATGAATACCAAAGGGAACATCTTGTCCAGGATGTGAGCCAACAAATTCCACCAGACACCTTAAGAAACAGTCTAAATGCAACCACACCTGCCACAGCATTCCCAGTACCAAAGAAGCTGGTCTTCCGACAGTAATACCAGTCCCTGCSTATAAATGTAAGACAGACCCACTCTTCTCTATCACTCTAAAATCCTAAGAGATAACATAGCCATGATATGTGTAGTTCTTGCCCTTCCATATGATTTCACAAGTTCTTGTATTTTGAACCACATAATTTACTTGTATGCTTTTCTAAGATTCCTTCCTCACCTTTTTTTTTTTTAAATTTTGAGCCGATTATATATGTTTTCCAATGTACTTCAAATGCTTCACTCTATAAATTTTGGCTCATTTTGCATTSCCAGAGATTACAGGTTTATGCTCCCTTCCCTTTTAATGCATCTTGAGTCTATTACTTTTCTAAGGACATATAACTTCATAACCTCAACTGTGGATTTGAGCTTGAAACTTTTCATTTGGGCTTGAAACCTTCATTTCTAATTATACATTGAGGACTKCAGACTATGTAATGATGCTCCTTGACATATGATGGGGTTAACTCCTGATAAACCCATCATAAGTCTACAGTATTACAAGCTACAACTGCACTTAACCTATACAACCTCCTGCATATCATAGCTTAGCTACACAGTGCACCCTCATAATCATGCAGYTGACCAGGAGCCGTGGCTTAGTGTTGCAGCTCAGCATCATGAGACAGTATCATGYCACATACCATCCATAAGGAAAAAGAGCAAAATTCAAAATTTGAGTATGAACTCTACTGAATGTATACCACTTCTGCTCTATTTTAAAATAGAAGAATACTAAGTTGAACCATCTTAAGCCAGGGACCATCTGCATTAGGTTTGAGATATGCCTTCAGGCATAGGAATTTCACTTCAAAATGTTTTTTTCACAGAAAAAGAAAGAGACTAACCAAAATTTTGCTGTTTCAGCAGACAGTTGGTTGCCCAACAAAGACATTAAATTTAGTTATAATTTTAGCTTTTGTGGCTAAAACTMAATAATATACACAATCCTAGACCTTCTCGGCCAGCATTGCCTGGCCCTGCACCATTGATTGAGATCTGAGTGATAGTAACTACTCAGAAACTTGWGACCTTAGGTCAAGAGAAAAGAAATAATTGCTTTTCTTCCCATTCCTTTACCTGGCTTTAATCCTAAAATATATCCAACATGATTGGACTAGAATTATAAATCCTGCTGTTCTCTCTAAACATAGAGTGTCAGCTCCTGAACCACAAGCCCAGGTGAAAGGAAGACAAATAATGAATTTCCTTCCTTTCCAGCAAACAAACTGATGACTTCAGAAAAGTTATCTGAATTGAGCAGGACTCATGTCACAACCTACAAAAGGAGTAATAATAAATAAATAAATAATGTGCTACACACAGTTAAATCACTTGGCTGAGCTTGCCATCTGAACGATGCTAGACCATTCCYTATGCTCCTCTGTCTTATTGTAGAGATTATTCTGTGGTGTTAGGTCACTGAGTGCCACCTCTATATCCAGTTCAAAAAAAAATAGGTTTAATGGTGCTGGTATGTGGAAGGACTAAACTCTAATCTTCAAAAGTTGTTAATAAGTACCTTGCTGTAGCCTGATT